AGCTGGCAACTCAGCAGGCTCTGCTGGGGCTGCAAGAGGTACGTACCTGTTGCTAAACTCCAGGGGGGCAGAGGCCTTGGTGTGGTGGGCCTTAGGGCTCTTGACCACCTTGGTCCATCCCCCTGACTGGGCAGAATTGGAGGTTCTGGAGTCCTGCCTTGTCCTGGAGAGAGACCGTGGTCTACCCTCCGGCTCCCGGGGCAGAAGGGCCTGGCAGTAGGAGTCTATCTCCTGCTCACAGTCCCTGATGGCATGCTGTCTCTGGACTGTGGCCTGGAGCTCCCCCAGCTGGCATGCCAGAGACCCCAAAAGAGAGCAGACCCCACAAGGGGAGGCAGCCATGCTCCCGGGCCCCAAAGCCTGAAGCTTTGCTAAATTAAAAATGTATTTCAGAGTAGCTTCTAAAATATGATAACTATATTCAAATTGAGTTATCATTATTGCAATAAACTTATAAACAATACTATCCCTAATTACTAAGAATCTTGAAGTTACTTGTTATACCTGTTACAAAATACACTTTGCAACTTGAAATATCTTTTCTTTAAAGACTACAATTGTATTAGAAGCACTAGCTCTTTCTTGCTAGTTTAAATATCTTTTTACATGAAAAAATATTAAATTATATGTTGCTGTTTTAGCATTTTCACTTAAGTGATGACAATAGCATTTACAGTGGTTATCTCTTAAGATATTATTTCTTAATGTACTTTGGATTTTGGAGGATTTTGGAAGATATATTTGTCTCAAAACATGGCTTCTGTCAATAATTTTTAAGTGATTTGTATAGAAATAGCTGAAGAGAAATTATCAATTCTAAAGTTCAGAACAGGCCACTTTAAGGAGTAAATTTTAGAATTAGTGGGCATGTCTACATGTGCACTTTAATGCTCTGTAGCCTATTTTACTGCACATTAGTGTCACAGCAAAAACCATGCTAATACACTAATGAACAGTATAATTAGGCTACTGTGCATTAAGCATGGCTAAAAAAGCATGCACTTTCACTACTGTGCACTAAGGCAGCCTAATGTGCATTTAGTTAGTACATCCCATTAGAGGTACTGAATTTAGTTGGTGGTAGCAGAAGCAGATTAATGAACGTGTAGACACACCCACTGAGTCTCAAAATTGTAGCAGAAGATTTAAAAAACATTTTCTAAAATGATTGTTACAAACTGTCTAAATCATCATAAAATTAAGCTACATAGATACTAAGTTTACTAATAAACTCTTATTATAAAAAGATTTTAAAAATAAATTTAACTTTTCAGGTTATTGATTGACAAAGCAGAAGTTGAAGATATTTGTTTTTCTACAACATGGGCAATTATAATGCAAGGTCAAGGCAGATTTACTGCAGACTTTTTCCAGCATGGTTAGGTTGGGGATATGAAAAGGTGTGATCCCTTATTACCAAAGCTGTGCTAGTAAGTGTCTTCAGTGTAGGAAGAGTTACACTAGCAAAATTATGCTCTTGCAGGTACAGTTTATTTTGCATGGGAAGGTTGGAATAAAATATCCCTGCAGTTTTGCCAGTGTAAATGGCACCCAGGCTAGGGCTGCTTTACTGGTATGGTATACTAATGCACTTAATGCACATTTATAGCAACTTCAGGGGAAAGCAAAAACCTCTTTCTAACACCATTTCCCCTTTGGGCATTTTCCATACAGTGAAGTCAGGTGATAGTTCCTATAACAGTGACAGCTACTTAGAAGCAATATGGCACCAGGGCACCAACATATTGCTGCTTAACAGGTGTCACCATTTAGTCACACTAATGTGGTGTTTCTAACATAGATGTGGCAACAATGTCCAAATAATGTCAAACATACACAAGGAAAAGGATCACTAATAGAAGACATCAGTTTCCATGACAATTAATGTCAAAACCATGTGAAGACATAGTGAGCCATCCTCTTCAATGTGAAGAGAAGCATGTGAATAAATCATTCCATGATCACAGCTCAATTTAGTATTCTAGTTTTTCAACACTGATTAAATGATTGTTGGAGCTTGAAGTTTAAAAGAACTCAAAAGTCTTAGTCTGTGAAATCTCTAACACAGTGAAAAATCCCAGCTGTATTTTAAATTAAGACACAAGTGTATTATGAAAATATTTAATCTGGTGCTACAAATCAAATATGAATAATTAATATTTGGTGAAATCCTGCAGAAATAAAAATATTACAATGCAGTGTTTATTTTACTAAAAAGATTAGCAATATTTATGACATACCTCTGGCATGGAACTAACTTCATGTACCTGTCCAATGAGCTTACAGTAGGACTGAAAAAGCAACAGTAGCTGGAAGTGGAGTTTGTATAATCTCTGACACAGTTCCAATTGCTATGGAAAGATTTATAGAACAAAAAATCATTAATATAGAACAGTAGATTCTGGGACATTTTTGTGTAATTAAAATATTTGGACCTATACATATTACTTTTTCTCTGGTAAGAAAAAGCTTTGGGCACTATTTTACTAAAATATAATCTACTATTAATGCAAAAAACACCCGAGATACTGTCTCCTCTGTAATTGCCACAGTTCCAAAATAATAATACCAATCTCTTGCATAGTACTTTTCATCAGTAGATATCAAAGTGCTTTTCAAAAGTCAGTTTAAATATTTTTATTTTACTGTGGGAGAAATTACTTGTCCATTTCAAATATAAAACATCTAGAAGAGCAAAAGTGGCCAGAGACTTCTTCTGAGACGGCAATTCAAGATAGGGACAACAAAAGAGTGTTCCAGGGTCAAGTGATTCTGTTTGCATCTATGAGTAGGCTCCTACCCAAATTGAGGAGGCAGACAGGTGATTTGCAGGGCGATCACAGCACTGGCTGCATTTTTATGATCTTTTCACAGCAGAGTGCCCCCCCCCCCCCACACACACTGCTG